ATCCGGAGGGGAGGGTCACGGGAATCCAGCCGACTCAATGGCACGTAACACACGCATTGCAGGGTCAGAAATTCACTTCCAGAAATGCCATTTGGTACTTTATTAAAACTATATGGCCCATTTTCATGCTCTCTTAGTCCTTCATTTTTAAATTGATTTAAGCATATTCATATGTTTGAATTTGCTAATTCTCCCTCCTTCCATCTTTGTGCATAATTCTCTCCCTTCACTCTTTTCTTGGTGGTTGTCCTTGATTCTAGGTTGGGATGGCTTGTTTCTTCATGTATTTAGTGATTTTCTTTTTTCTTTTATTCAAGTTTTCTTTTTAATTCAAGTTTTTTGTGTGTTTTTTAGCACATATCCTTTCTAGAGGTATTTAAAATTCAAGCCACTGTGTGGGCCTTGAATTTTAAATACCTCTAGAAAGGATATGTGTTTACTTCTGTCAGGAGCCTGGAGGTGGAAGCTAGGTCTACTTCAACCTGGATTTTCAGCTTTTCTTTTCCCAGAGGCAGCAGGGCATCCATCCCCAGACCGCTGCTGTGTTGTCTTCTTAAGGAAATGTCTTTCTTTTCCAAAGCCCCAAGGTCTCTGTTCAGCATCCGAGATTCTTAGCTGCACGTGCGGTGAGGCAGGTTCTGGAGTCAGGCGCCTTGCCTCCCTCACAGCCGCCTCTGCGTAGCCTCCTGCCTCGGTCACACCCCAGGGTGCTGTCCCCTCACTCCAGGGCCTTTCGCAACTGATCCCCTCCTTGAAAATCATACTGGCCCATCTCTGGCACACGGTAAGTACAGGCTGCCTTCTGGCTTCACAGCTCAATAGATGTGTGACCTTGGGTTAGTTTTTAAAAAAACTTCTCAAAACCTCAGTTTCTTCATCTGTAAAATGGCCACATATAAGTGCCCTACTGGCAGTTAAATCTTTGTTCCGTTCCTTCTGTCTCTTCTTTTATGTTCATTTTCCCTCACTTAGGGTTACTGGTAAGCCAAGGCCATTAGAAACCCTAAACCATGTACTGAGTTAGATAAAAGCTCTATCTACATTTAATAATGGTTTCTTTGAAAATATATCACCTTTGATCTGTTCTGCTGTTTTATTTCCTCTGATTTGCCAAGAGGGCAGACAATAAACCAAAGGCCTCCACTTTGAAGTGAGTCTGACCGCTGGCGTCATAAATCTTCCCCAGCATTCAGGCGGCTCTTACCTTAAGTGATGATAAGAGATAGGTAAACAGCGTGGCACAGACCCACACAAATGCCTCCCTTTGAAGGTGTGCTGAATGTTGGCGTTTCAACACTGCGGGAATGTCTTCAGTTTGCTGGAATCTTCCCCAAACTGTGGTGTCATGTCCTTTGAATGCTCATCAAAAGATAAAATATACTGATTGCTCACATGTTTTGACTCCTGTACATGTAATGAATGCCTTTGCTTTTATTACCAGATGCTCTGAAAGGGGATACAATTTTAATTAGCAGACAGTAAAATTCCCTCTCATTGTTCCTTGTGTCATACAATGGCCTTTGGCATCAATTCAGCTTCAACAGGTATCCCCAATTTAGAGTGTGCTGAAGAAGGAAATGTTATTCAGTCCAAACGGCTCAATTGTGACATAGCATGGCTGTGAAACAGCCCAATAATGTTGCAGCTCATTTATGAGACAGCACGGCTGTGGAACAGTATGACTGCAAGGTGGCCTTCAGTATGACTGCAAGGTGGCCTTCAGAGCTATCTGGCCAGATAGCTCTGCTTTGCTCCAATCTACTCCACTCTGGTCCAGTGAGACATCTTCAGTGTTTCAGCTCCAGCTGGGAAAATGTAGTCTCTCCAGTCTTGGAAAGAGAAAGTGCACTCCCTGGGCCAGAGGAGAGTTGACTTCTATAAAGAGAAGTCCCACACCCCAGGTCCCTGATTATTCTATCTTCATGCAGATGAGGACTCCAAATCCTCAGTTTGATTGATCCAAAAAGCACTGCCCTGATTGATTGGAATGGAACTGCCAATAATGCACAAATGGTGATTGTGCATTATTTTGATGACATTTTGGGGGACGAGGGAAGAGCTAATAGTATTCTAAGTTAACAATATAATATTATTAGCATAATTTTGTTTCTTTTTTGTTGTTATTTATGGCCTTCCCTATGTATATTTAGCAATATGTGCAGATGTTACTAGGTGGGTTTGAGAGAAAGGAACTTAATAAATGGGGAAGAGGGGTGGGAGGGAGAGTTTTTGTTCTAGTCTTTTTATGATATTTGATGTTTAGACAACATGAATTTATTAGGTATGCAAATAAAAATATGAAACAGAAGAACGCCAGGTGAATCAATATTATTCTACAAATCCAGAAAAAGAAAGTAGATAGAGTGGGGCAGAGACGATTGAGGGGATAATAGCTGTCTCATTCAGTTTGAGTTGCCATAACAGAATACCATTGACCGGAAAGCTTAAACCACAAACGTATTTCTGACAGTTCTGGAACCATGGAAGTCAGAGATCAGGGCGCTGGCCTGGTTGGGTTCTTGGTGAGGGCCCCCCTTTTGGTTTACAGATGGCTGTCTCCTCTCTGTGTCCTCACCTGGTGGAGACAGGAAGCTCTGTTCCCTTCATCTCCTTACAAGGGCACTAATTACATCATAAGGACCCCACCCTCATGTCCTAACCTAATGCTAACTTACAAATGCCCCACCTCCAAATACCATTACTTTGGGGGTGGGAGTTTCAAAATATGTATTGGGGAGGGGGGTGGCACACAAACATTCACTTCATAGCAATGGCTGAATGTTTCCCAGAACTGAAGCGAGATACAAGTCTCCAGGTGGAATAAAGCTGCTGATGAACAAGATTAAATTTGAAATATATATATATATATTGATTTCAGAGAGAGGAAGGGAGAGGGAGAGGGAGAGGGAGAGGGAGAGGGAGAGACAGAAACATCAATGATGAGAGTCATTGATCGGCTGCCTCCTGCACGCCCCCTGCTGGGGATCGAGCCCGAAACCTGAGCCTGTGCCCTGACCTGGAATTGAACTGTAATTTCCTGGATCCTAGGTCGATGTTCAATTGCTGAGCCACACGGGTCGGGCTAACAGGATTAATTTTTAAAAACCAGTTTAAAAAGTACTCAATGCAATGAAATTTCAAGAACAAAAAGAAAATTACTAGAACTATAAGAAGCAAGAATGATCTTGACATCAGCTTTCTCCCATCAGCAACTTTGGTGCCAGAAGATAATAAAATCATACCTTTAAAGTGCTGAAAAGTGCTTTGAACCTAGAATTCTACACTCATACTCTAACTCAATAATGAGAGTGAAATATGGATAACTTAAGACTCACTTCAGTTCAGAAAGCTACTACTTATTGCCTTGCTGAATGAATTATGGAAGTACATAGGCAAATGAATCTAAAAGTAAATAGGAGAAGGCACAAGCAAGAACCCCTAATTTTCAAGAATGTCTTAGTTAGAGAAAATGAACCACAATTAAAGCCATAAAAAATTTAACTGAATAATTTTCTGGGATTCTGTTTGACCAGCTGACAATAAGTAAATAAAACCAGAGACAGTTTATTACTCACAAAGACAATAATCATAATCACTAGTGTTCTTAAATACTGTATATGCCAAGAATTCTTTTAATTGCTTGTTATGCATGAATTCATTTAACCATCACAGTGACTTTATGAGAAAAGCATTACTTTCTCTAGCTTACACGGAAAGAAAAGAAGTGTAAAGAAGAACCATTCCTTGCCCATGGTTAGATGACTCGTGTTAGAACTGGGATTTAGATGCAGATCGTCAAGGTCCTGAGGCTGCCTATTTAGTCACCATGCTCCATGGGTCATCCATCCCTACCTTCCTTCCTTCCCTCATAGGGAGGGTGGAGCCTAGGATTCAGTTCCAGGATCCAGACAAACTTCTGCAGCCAGACTCTCAGGCCAGTTCAGATGCCCCAAACTTTAGATGTCTTAGTTCCTAGTTCTTAAATTATGTTCTGTTTGCCTCTGACCCACTCAAAAGCATTGAGTACTGTTTGAAACAAACACCCTTAAAACAAGCTGTCTTGTGTTTCCACTCCTGCTCTGTCACCAGCCCATCTCCACTCCTCTCAACTCTCAGATCAATGACTGTGACCTTGATTTTATGTATGGACCACTGGATTTGGCATTTATTCCTGATGTTCTTGAGGTTTAAACACCAGTGTCCAGAGAATATTAACACAGACTGTTGTTCTGAATTGCTACCTTTCGCTGCTGTGAGAAGGCAGCTCTAACCCAATTTTCACACAACTCCATTCCGCCCCAAGGGAGGGGCTCCTTGTAAAAGGGGCGGTTACCTCCTTGGTTCCTTTATTCTATTTTTTTCTTGGTTCCCACAATTAGCCTGATGCCTGATTCCTGGGAATCAAGCTATAACAGGTCTCATGATCCAAAGACCTAATGGAATGACAACAAACAAAAGGTTGTGTGGAAGTATGTTTATTTATTATATATTTGTCATTTTACATCAGTTACAGACACATCTATGTGATACATAATGTTATAAATGCACACAATATATATTTACCTGTTGCTCAACGCTTTCTTCCAGGTTTTTATCACAGAAGGGGATGGCAGGACACCTACTCATCCTTCCTCATAAAAACAAATGCACTTCCTTAGAATGAAACATAACTGATCATCTGTTTCTATAACTGTATCAGCTACATTAAATAGACACCAATAATAAAAATTATATAAAATAATAAATAATACAATAACACTTAATGCTATAAAATAAACTAAAAGTAAGGGAGAAGTAAATGCAACATCATCCCATTTTAGGAAACCAGACAATTAATAGGGTTGCAATGTTATGATTGACAGTTGTCTGGTTATTTCTGTATTTACATTTAGTGTGTAGTAGAAGTTGTTCGGGAAAACAGAAACACATAGAAAAAGTCCCTAAATTTTTGGTACTTATAGCAATTCTGAGGCTTATAACTCATGCTACAAATTCCAATTTTAGGGTGAGGCAAATCTGCCAAAAAAGAGAATGGTCTTGGTTGTATTGTGCATTATAAAGAAGAGGAAAGGATGATCTGCCACAAACTGTGGGCCTCCGTGGCCGGTTCTCCCTGATATGACAGCCCCGGTGCCAGCGGTTGCTTCAGTGCCCTCCTCATTCACATCCACAGCGGCTTGATGAAACACTTCGGACAGAAACAGGTCATCTTCTTCTGACATTCCTAAGAAATTGGCCTGGCCTTTGATAAAGGCATCATTCATGCCCATGCTTCTCAGAATGGGTTTGAGCTCATAGTGCTCTTCTAATTTGAACTGGGGGAGGTATACTTCAACGTCATCTTCAGCCATTGTGTCTTTGCTGATCCAGTTGTTGAGCTTGTCATAAGTTAATTCACTTTCCAGCTAGAAATCCAAAAACACATGCCAGTGAGTGCTTAGAAAAGTAGAAAGACAACTTCTAAGTCTAATGTTAAAAAATTAGTGACTTTAATGTCACTCCATTGTGGGTGATATAAAAATTTAATAGATTGGTAAAGTTTTTGCAAGAAGGCAATAGGTATAACATAAGTTTAAGGCTTTGAATGAAAGTTTGAGACATGCCACACTTACTATCAACCAATTCACATATTTCTGTAAGAAATTGCAGACCATTTCTTAAGGTGTAGACAAGTTCATCATGAAAGGTAAGTTCAGCCCCAGAAATCTAAAACAATTAAAGTTGGAATGGCTTACCAACTCCAAGCCAGTAGACACATTAGCAATTTCATCTGGAAGCAACAGAAACATGCTGACATCTCCAGCATATGGGAGTTCTAGAATCTGAGTCTTTAGGTCTTCTATGTACCCAATGTTCAGCCTTTCGTGCAAGTACATCATCTGTACAGATTTACGCTGAGTCTAAAAAGATTAAAGAGTAAAATATGAAAGTTAATACTAAGATGTCAAGAGATTTACAGTTAGACATAAAAGAGAATGGGCTCTGCTTTAGGGTTTAAGAACTATGCTTTTAAAAATCAACAAAATAAATTATTTGTATACTGTACATGTCTCTGATCTTATTACCTTTCAAGATTATACCCATTCTGGATAATAATAATAATACTAAAATATTTGTTTAGTACCTACCATGGGCCAAGAACTCTGCTAAATCTCATTGAATCCTTACAACAACCTTTTGAGTTGGATACTATTATTATCCAAATTTCACTGACAAAAGATGGAACTCATGGAACATAAGTAAAATTATGGCTGGTAAATTATAGAGCCTACATTTGAGTCCAGGATTTAAGTATACAGCCCATGGCTTTTCAGCTTCACTCATATGACCTTATAAAATTACTGAGTAATATTCAGCAGCTTGAAAGAGTTAATCAACTGTCCAGTGTCCATAAGTTATAACTGGCATGTCACGTAGTGACATCAACCAGTGGTCTCTATTTTTCCAATACACATTAGGCTAATCTGTCTTGTCTCATACCGAGTTCACCCGGAAAGGATAAAGCCCACTTAATTTCTTCTCAAATGGAGTTTTCCATTTTCCTTTGAAGTAGACAGCGTTCACCAGGACCATCCTGGTCTCCGAATCCACAGAACCTTCAGGTAACAAGTTTAAAACTTTACCTCCAAAAAAAAAAAAAAAAAAAAAAAAAAAGATGTATGTTTAGGTCTCATGATAAAAGAAGGTGAAGTTACTATAATTTCTTGACTCTTTCGAGTTGCCATCAAACTCAGTAGACACATTTGTTAAACTCTACAAAGATGTTGATCTTCAAGCTCAAGTTTTCCTCTTGATTTATTTAAAGCACAAGTAAAAATCTGAGCAAATTCCTCAGAAGCTTTTCAAAATTCAAGAGAAAATGAAGAGGTAATGCATTTAAAATTTAGAATTACTATCAAATTTGCAGTTGAGATTTTCACTTCCTTTTATATTGTTTTCTCGGCTTTATAGTTGTATAAAGTTATTTAATTCAGATGGAAGTGAAAGAGAGTCTCTTAAGGAAGACAAGGGTGTCTTTCCACAGTATGTCCTGAAGTGCTCCTGCTAGATCTGGTCTCAGCAGTCTATGACCCAATGATTCATTAAAACAATTTTTTGGAAGTTTAGGCTGGACCTACACTAGGAGTAATGCAGATCCATGAACTGAGCAAGGAGGAAATGTCCCGGTGGGACTGAGAGTGTTATTGGAAGTGACATTCAAAACCAGTTGTGAGAAACATGCGATGAGTTTTCTAATAGAGCCAAATAATGTGAAGTACTTGACAATACCGAGAATGAGTGAGCGGCGAAGGTTCTCAGAAATGCAAGCCTCTGAGTGTGATAGCTTTTTTTTTTAATTGGTTTAAGAAACAGCCCATTTATAGTGAATACCTACTCTGCCATATTTCAACCACTAAATACATTATTTTATTGAATCCACAGCTACTCTATTAGGTATTAGTGCCATTTTACACAAAAGGACACCATAACGAGAGAGGTTAGCAATCTTCTCAAGGCTACAGTCTTGGGGAGCTGGTCAGGATTCTGTCCCCACTGTCCTCCACCCTCAGGTCCTACTGACAGGAAAAAGTCTAATAAAAAGGTCACTGCAGTCTGACCAGCTTCACTATATCCATTCAATATCTCCACTCAATATATCCCCCAGGCAATTAAAATTCTTGGTTACTATTTAAATCTACTAACGTTTTATTTAACTTTATGATGCATGTGGCAAAACCAGTATTTGATCATAACAAAGAAAACAGAAAATTCTCTCAAATCCTCAAAAAGTTTGGTAAAACAATCAGCCTCAATGACTCCTTGGCCTTTTGGCCATATAACCGATTCATGCACAGTCATTCGACACAACCGGTGCTTATAGAGAAAATTTATGCTGTTCTCAAAAAGCAAAACTTTCATGTGTCTCTAACCTTGCACATCAATTTTACTTTCACTTCTGTGCATCTTCCCTTTCCTGCGTCTTTGTGGCAGTCGTTTGTTGGTGTTTTAGGACAGCGGTTTAAAAATCCAGAGTAGACAAGAAGAAGTAGTATAAATAGAACAACTACTTTCAGAGAGACATTTTTTTTTTTTTTTTAATTCTATAGAACTTAGTTCATGTGCTTTGTTTCCATTACGGTAGCTAACAAACCAAGAGACAAAACTATTTCTGGAAATGATGTTTTAAACCCAGAAGTTAAGAAAATCTTTTTTCTTTTTTTTTCTTTTTGTCCACAGTGGACAGAGTGTCACAATTATTTCAATACTGATGTTTCCTATGTTTAAAAACATCTGCCGTCTCTCATAGTCTATTCTAATGCACTATCCAAGATCCAATTCTTTGAGTATTTAATTAGTAGATCTCAATTAAAACATCACTCAGCTAAAAAAGAATAAAGTTGCATTAACAAAATAACTAAGGTTGAATGAATTTTAAGGGATTAAAGGCTAACTTCAAGGATGATTTCAAGAAACAGATCAGAGTTTTCAAAGCAGAAAGAAGAACAGAAAATATTTCCTTGGTTTTACCTTTGGTTTGAGTCTCAACCCAGAAATTAATCTTTTTTCTGGCCCCTTCTGCACATTCTAGGAAGTCCACTTCCTGGGGCTCTGCAGAGTAATATTTCTTAGAGAGGCGTATGTATTCCTTTAAGGCAAGAAAAATGCAGGAGGTTACATGGAGTGTGTGCTGAAAAGCCTTGGGGTAATTGTGAATTATGGGCTTCCTGTCGAGACTGG